TTATGGGGTACTTCACTGTGTCTGGCCATGACATACACAAAGTAGTATTGACTTGTACAAAGTGTCATTGGACAGAGAAGGTAAGTGTCCATTGAACCAATAAGTCGAGGGACCCAATTACAAAAAATAGCGGTCTACCATTTTATTTTATAAACTAAACACGAAAGTTGAAAATCTGAAATTGAAACCACTGAGTCACACTGAAAAATATGTTTTTGTTTTCAAAATAGAAGGAATTACATTCGCAAATTTGTCTGTGACCCTCTACATGTAATTGTAGGTTTAATGTAATGTTTGTCAGTCTTAGCAGTTCATCTAAAAACCCTGAAAGCAACCGTGATTAATGAAAATACCACCTATAGCCTTTAACCTTACAACAACAATCTATAATCTGTTTTTTAAATAATTGTTGCTAGGACAACACAGTTCTATAGAAAATAACTTACTGCTGAATGATGTTTTAAACACCACTTAGTTAAAAGTAGAAACTGCCCTCTACACATTGGCTTATCGTGAGCCGTGGGACTGAATGCTGGGACGGAGTATTCATTCATTATTTTTGGAACATATATAATAGTCACTCGCTTATTATATTGTACCTGTTAGGATCTCACTGTAAGTTGTTGAATGGTTAGCAATAATGAGCAGAATTGTATCGACACGAGTGAGGTGGAAATATATAAATGAAAAGTACAATATTTTTATATTTTTGCTGCATTAATGTACGGAATGTAATGCGTTTAGGGTACATTAGACTGATGTGCCTTGCACCATTTCGGTACAATATATACACGTTTACACATGCATATGCACGCATGCACTGAATTTAGTTCACCTGTACATTTGAGTGATGTCAATGCATTATTCCACCGTACTTTTGGAAATAATCCAGTAGAGGCAGCTTAAGTCCCCCTGTCTATTGTGTACACACTGAAAACAAAAAGCACACTTAAGGCACTAGACTGTATTTGCAAAGCTGCTGGAAAATGGGTGCAGGTACCTAGTAGAAAACGAAACGGATTATTTATAATTGAAGTGTACTTCATTTTATAGTGATAAAATAAATACAAATCCGATAGCAAGAACAATTTTATTATTTGTTCAAATTATTACCTGCACCCAGTGCTGCGAGTGTCTGTTTGATTAACCGTAAAATGAAGCAACATACAGTGGCGAAGCCATATTGATTTATACTTTTTTTTTGAATTGCTCAGTGTTAGCGAAAAAGTAATGGTAGAGTTTTTGTTATATATATCAGGTCCATTAGTTAAAAATATGCACAATTTTGTCGTATATTATTTTATTTATTTATTGCTTCCCTTTTGTAACAGGTGCTCACTATGTAAATTAGGAGCTGCACCAAATAAAAAAATACATTTCACTGAAAGACTAATGAAAACACTTTTGATAGACAAAAAGAAACTAAGTTACATGAACTGAGATAACAAAATATAACAACAACAAAAACATCTAAAAATAGCAAAAAAATATGAAAACTAAAATATAAGAAGTACACTGGAAACATATTAAATATTATCTGTATACTTCTTTCTACTCTCCATGGCATCAACTAAGACATTTTATGTAAAAGTATCAATTTCGTCACACAGGACTGAATTATACTGCCTTGTACTGTCACCCAGGATTAAACATAGCACTTCTTTGTTTGCTATGAAGTCTTTATGTAAATTTATTTCATTTTTGTTACATAGGAGCATTTCAATCCCTTCCATTGGGGTTTTTCTCTGTGCTGAGAAACATTCACAATGTAATATGAAATGCTCCAGTGTTTCAGTTCCTGTTTGCACATGGACAGATACATCATTATTATCCAAG